TTGAAGACAGGCATTTTGTGGTAGGGGCTGGCTGTTTGCAAAAATTTCCACTGTTAGCACATCAAAGTGATGTTATTTGGCCGGGGAGAATGACTGCTCCAGTGAGAAACATGAGCCAATTCCTCACCTCCACTGCTGCAACCCAGCATGGCTGTACCCTTGCCATATCCCTGTTTGTTCCCCAGGACCTGGGTGGAGCTATCAAACCACTTCCCACAGACTAACCAAAAAGCTGAGTAACACCACCTAATCCCCCATATTATCAGATTAAATCTGTTGACATGGGAGTAGAAGGCCAGTGCTTTCACCTTTGGTCATCATGGTTCCCTGCTGGTCCTGAGCCACAGCCAGCACCTCGCAGGTGACCGCCCAGAAGAATGCAGAACCATTTACCCTCCCAGCCATGTCCCATCCTGAGCCAGACAGCTCTAGCAAAAGCAGCACCATGCACTTGCTTCATCCATAAACTGCTGGAATTTGCATTCTGGTTGTGAGGAGATTACAGGGAGAAAAATCCTGCAAACAGCTGCTTTTGCTTTTTGATCTCTTGCTGGTTTTACAGTACTTGCATCTCTGTGAAAACAGAGAAAAGGACTCAGTACCTTTCTCCTTAAAATATTGTTTCCATTCCCTTCTTGGTTCTGTGTTCCTGATATTAAATGACCAAAAACCAAGAGGAACAAGTATCTTCCCCACACCAGTGAGCAATCTGCTCGCTTTCAGTTTGTATAAATAATAAAGGATGCAGAAATTCTTCTATGAAACACGGTAGCCAAAATACCTCGTTTACAGCAGTGGCTCAACCAAGATGGTGCAGTCTCTTGCCTCTGCTCAGGGAGAGGGAGCTTTCTGCTAAGGAGTGCTGTCCTGCCAGCTGCAGCCTGCCTCATCCAAACTGAGCCAGGCCTGGAACTGCTCCATCACAAGCTCCCCAAGACACATCCATGATGCTGCAATCGCACCCTACTCTAAATACGCATGTCACACAGAGTGGGCCCTGAAATCCCTTAAGGACAAAGTCCACAGAAGCAAGGGCCATTCTCATCCAGGACAGGGCAGGCCACAGACCAGTGGTGGAAAAATACAGGACCAACTTCTGGTCCTTCCAAGACACACTTCTTAGGTAAGTCTGACTGAACCAACCTGCAAACTGAGTCACAGAGTGGCCGCAGGGACCCTGCCAGAGGCTGTCCCAGGCACAAGGGGGCTGCAAAGGACGAATGCAATGCTGCTGCTCCTTTCCTCTACCTGCAAAGACCAGACACCGACACCAGCTTATTTTCATTGTGCCCTAGTGGTGTGTGGCTGGCTGAGTGGAGGATAAAGTCTGACAATCAGAGCTATGGAAAACTTGCTCACATTTTAAGCTCTCAGGGCTCAGCAGTTTTGACACACCCTTCTTCTTCTCCATGACAGCACCTCCCTTCCCCTGCCCCCACCCCTCTGCAAAGATCCAAACTAGACCAGTGTTAATAGCTGAGGTCTTTATTTAAAGTTTTTTATATACAGTAAAAGTGCCACAGATAAATCTGCGACAATCAGACAAGACAAATGTAAATCTCTCTCAACAATTAGCAGCTTAAGATCTATAAACTACAGTGTTACGTTCACAAGTGTCATTTCTGTACTTTTCAACCCGTGCAAGTGAGTTTTTCTGTTTATTTTTTTTTACCACTTTTAAAACACACTTACAGCTAAGTCAATTGCCTACGACTATACCACCTGGCATACACAACACAGACACACAGGGTAACTCTTTAGCCACTTTCAGAATTCATTTAAAAACTGGCAAAACTACTCAATCGTGAACCCTTTGTAGCTTGGCTTCTTTTGTTATAATGCCTTTTCTTTTTTTAATTTAAAAAATGCATATTTTCAAAGCTGACAGACAGTGCTTTCCTGTAACATGCACCAAAGTCAGCAGTTCATCTGATCCCACCTAAGCACACATAGGATTGGAGTAGCTGCTGGGAGCATGCTGAATATCCTTGAACTAAACTAATGAGGCTGAGAGAAAAAAGAACTTTATAAAAGTTTTAGAAGTAATTTTTTTTGCATCAAGATTTTCTTTCTTCTTTATATTGAAGGAAATGGGGGAAACAGATGAACTTCACTTGAACCCTCGAATGTTAATGAGGAGGTGCTGCTCTTGGAACTTACACAGTCCATTATATTTTTCCCTTTTTATGTGCCAAAGCAGTATGTGCTAAACACATCTAAACAATTTCTGAATCACTTTAACTCCGAATATGAAATGTTTTGGGAAACATTCTGCAACTCAGAGATGGTCACTAAAAAGTTTTTATCTACAAAGGAGGCTATTAAAGGTACTCACACACACACTCACATCCACAGCAGAAACTGTCCTCTACGTGTCATCCAGAAACACTCCATCAGGAAAGCAAACACAACCATGTACAAGGAAAGGGAGCTTTAAAGCTAGAATCACATTTCCAACAACATCATCATTAAGCTATCAGAAATCATCACAGACTTTCAAAGTGAAGAGGGAGGAAAACCCCAAAATGTTCTGCTAGTGCAAAAGGCAAAACACATGGCAGTTGTGTTAGGATATGAGAAGCGGATGCAGCATCACACATGACGCTACTGCAGACAACTTTCTGGAATGGAAGAAACTGTTGAGAGAGAAAGAGACAGACACTTTGTCCAGACCCATATGTATATGGCCTTCACCAAAGAGTTCTGAGATGTCAGTTTCTATTAAGCCTGCACCTTCTGGCAAGCTAGCAAATGGTATTTACTGAATATGACAGTTGAGAAAATAAATGAAATTAGGACATAAAGAAGAGGGACAAACACTTCCTTAAATACTACAGATACCGAGTATCCAGAGCCACTGGCTTTTAACTCCTTCCTGATTTGACCACATAAAAACCTACCTTAAGCAATTCTAGTTTGAAGAAGACTGAGAAAAAGATGTACAAAGGCCAGGTTTCAGAAAAAAAGGCAACAAAGTATTTCAGTTATGTGCCAAATCAGTTCTTACTGTTATTCACACATTTGTTTCTGACAAAACCTGCATAATGGGAAGATGATAGTTAGCCAAGAAATGTGAGTCACTAGAGAAGAGCCTTACTGGAGCCAGGAGCAAGGGAGGGAACGGCCACACACCTCTGCTCTGGCTGTGGCACTGCAGAAAGCACAAGCAGGTTTGGCTTGAGTCAGCTGTAAATGGCAATCTTTGTTTTAATTAGGACAGGAGCAGATTAGTGCACATGGTGACAGAGAGGTGTACTGGGATCCCTGGGGGAAGGGCACCTGAGTTTCCTGTGACTACAGAAAAAAGAACCCTTGGAAAGGAAGATGCTTGGACAGTGGAGGGCTTGCCTTTGCTGGCAATCAGAAAACACTCAAGGTATTAACCTTGTTTGAGGGAATTTTTCAGAACCCAGAATCTGCATCATAGCACAATGCCCATGTATGTGTGTATATATGTGTTGCACATTTCAGACATGCCCATGTATGATTTCAGCTGGTTTAGGTCACTTGGGCAATATCTGATTCCTAGAGGGAAGTTGATCCTGGGAAGAAGGAAAACAGTAAGACCTAACTAAACACCATAAATGGTTGTGACAGAATCCTGGAGGGTTTTTTTTACATTTCATGAAGACAAAAGATGAATCTTGGCACTGTTATGGTGAAAGGGACAGCAATTAAAAAACAGCACAGAATGAACACAGATTCCTTGGACTTGAGGGCTGCCTGCCTGTACCAACAGGTCACCAGCAATGGCACATTGTGAGGACTTGGGGTTACATTTGAAGCTGACATTTCCTTTCAAGATTTGCAAAGGTGTCTGCACCAAGTGCTGGCCCCTGTGGCTGAAAAAGAGGATGGCACACCACAGATACAGACACATGAATAATCTTACCAGAGCCTGACAGGAGGAAAACTTTGGTTTCACTTTTCAGGGTTTGTTTTTTTTTCTTTTTAATTAGAACTGTTTCTGAGATAACCATTCTGTTAAGTGAACTGTTGAGTCAGTATTTCTTTCCTCAAAAGAACCTGTCTTTTCCCTAGGAAGAGATGAACAGAAATTCCTTGCTCTTATCCTGAGGCCAGGAATGAGAGATGACATGTGAACAAAAAATACAAATATACCATCCTTCAGATGTGGAAAAAGAAAAAAAAGCCCAGCATGACAAAAAGGTGTGGAGAAGACAGATGTTTTCCATGATGCTGCATCTTTAAGCTCAGGAGGACAGACAAATGGCATATGGACAGTGCTGCATTTGACAGGCTGACACTAGAAACTACTCTCTGCCCTCCTCAGAACTGCTTCAGGACAAGACAGCTCACAATTATTCACGCATTTCTTCATTTAAAAACATCACTTCTTTATTTGAAAGAAAAAAAAGTAATGACCCTCCCAACCCCTTCAAAAAAAACCCCCCAATAATAATAATAATAATTATAATTATAATAATAATAAAAAATCCTATTAGAAACAATAAGGAAGCACTGAGAGTTTGAGTATTACACTCTTCAAGTATGCTGTTTGGATTTTTTTTTAAATCTGTGAATATACATATATTAAAAAAAAACCTTAAAAGTGCGACCAAGGGCTTCTGCTTAAAGAGTATAAGTATTTCAAGGACTACTTCAAAATACTGTAGCACAACTGTGCAGTTACTGTGTATGGCATGAGCTTCCACTCCATGTACTCAGCCAAGTTAGCCAGCCTTACAGAAAGTTACTGAAGTCAGGTTAACACAAACGGCGAACTCAGATGCTGAGCTGGGAGAGGGATCCGCACGTTGTTTTTCTCTTGTTAAGGAAAGAAACCACTCAACGCATACACTCGGACATGGAATGTGAGCAGACTTCACAGTAAAAGTTTAGTGTTACAGGTTTGCTGTGGTACCATCATTCAAGGCTGTGCACTAGATTGAGCTTTGCTCATCTTAAGCTAACCACGTTCTCTTCTTCCTGACAGGTTTAGTACAGTAGTTCAAGCCACAATTTAAATTGCCCATTGGTATGCTCCAAATTTCTGTATTTTATTCTTTTCTTTTGTACACTTTAAAGAATCTTAAGATTTGCATCCAAAGAGAACCATGCTACATAAAAATTATCCAGGATTCTTGCCAAAAGAGTTCTTGAATAAAATCTAAAAAATACTATTGCAATGCATCTTGCAGAGAAAAAACGTTATTCTAAATGTAAACAAATTCACTCGGACACTTTAAAATTTCAGCAGAGTAGTCGCTGACTAATCTTTGCCACACTTGCTCACCAAAAGCGCCAGGAGGGAGCGGCGCAGCCCATTCCTGCCACCATCATCTGGGAGGAGACAAGAATCGTTCCAAGTAGCCGGAGATGGCATCCCAGTGCTTCCACAAAAAGGCAATGAAAACCACTATAAATAAAGTGCTGAACGTCCTATTGCGAGTCTTCATCAGGGGCACAACGCAGTTGGCCACAGTGGAGACAAAGACGAGGAGGACAGCCATGACAGCCAGCAAGATGTTGATGAACTTCCCCAGCAGGTTCCTGGCCGTGGCATTCTCCAGCCCCTCCAACTGCACCACTTGCTGCTGCTGCTGCTGCAGCTCCATCTTGGAGATGCGCGTCTGGCACGCTTCCAGCGCCTCCTGTGGGCAAGAGCACATTCTGGGTTACTCAAGTTCACAGCTGATACCTCACCAACCAGGCCAGGTTAGGACCACCCCCATACCTCACACTGCTCATGCGCTGAGCTCCTGCCCTGCAGCGGGAGCAGAGGAAGCAGTGCCATTTCCCATATCCGAGGTGAGAAGCCCCTTGCTGACTGGGCACTGCAGCCTACAATACACCACGGTGCCCCATCCACACCCAGAAGGCTTGACACGGAGATGCCAGGCCGGGAAACCCCACAGCTTCTGCCAGCCACCCGGTCACTTCAGCTTTGCTTCCAAGAGGCCATTCAGAGGACAGAGGTGCTGTACCTAGCCAGAAATCTTCATCTTCTGGGATGTGCATTCCCAGAACCTCAACTTCCATCACCTTCCTTAGAGTCACTCATGCTTATCTGACCCCTTTTCAGAAAACTAGGCAACCTTGCAGAAAACTACATCAACAAAAATAACTACCCAAGGCTCAGCTGTGTTCCGCTTGCTTAGTGAGCTGTGAGCTCGGAGAAAGGTCTGAGGGGCACTAGGGCTGGGACTGCACAGCTGCCATTGCAGGAAGGACATCTTCTCCAGACTGCAGCAAGCTGTGGCACTGGCACAGCTCCAGCTGACTCTGCGAGGACTGGGGAAAGACATCCAGAAGTGAAAGAAGCATGAGATTTATGGAACTGCCTACAGGAAGAGGCAAAATGAAAGGAGGTGGAAGGAGAAGACTACCCTGCACAAATCCACCTCTTTAAAGCCCCACTGACTCAGGGGGGATTTGTCAGACCTTTTCACCAGGCCGAACCCCAGCTGGACCAACCCAACCTGCACGAAAACACTGCTGACCTGCAACGCAGGGGGCTAGGGAGAAGGAGAGAGGTTTTCAGGCAATTAACACCAAGAGAGACTTCTGCTCTTGAAGATACCAAGTTACAGGATTTCCACTTATCTTCCCTCAGAGTCACCTTTTCCAGACACATAGGCCAACTTCAAATATGATGTACAAGTCTGCAGCAGTCCTTCCCAGACTGATCACCAAAAAAGGAACCAGTACTGTTCCTCTGCAACAGTAGCCCATACTCTTAAATAGTTTTTCATACAATAAAACACTTCCCTCTTCCTCAGCTGAGAAATAGGCTGTCCCAACTTTTAAGTTTACACTAAAAGCACTGAATTATACAATGAAGATTAAAAAAAAGCTGTTGAGAAATCCCCACTTCAATTCAATCTTCCTGCCATCTGAATTTAGAGAGGAAAACAAAAGCCCACTGTTGTAACACTCCCCCCAAGGAGCGCCTCCTGTTTACACTGCCAGGGGCCGTAGTACCACTGTCCACAGACACTGATTAACTTAAAGGTCATTGTCACCTGTTACATTTCTCACTGCATCATGTCTGTGGGGGGTCAGTGAAACATGAGGGCCTCTCCTTGGTTAAGACCCCTGAAAGCACAGGGCAGAACTGCTCAGCTGCCCCCAGCAGTGACCAGAAGAACGTTTGACAAGCGGAGTTGCAGCTGCTGTGTGAACAGCATAGCCTGCTTGGCCTCCAGAGGAGATCACCTGGCTGGAGTCCCTCGGCAGGAAAAAGGGAGAACTCTTAACCTACAACTCCCTGCTCACACTACAAATATCTCCCACCAGCAATCAGAACTGAGATACCTGTTAAAACTACCACAAGTATTTGTAATAGTCAAGAGACTTGTTTCTGAATAGGCCTTTCTCTGTAAGGGTCAGCAGCTGCTTTGCTTTGTAGAAGGGCCTCGAACTGCAAGACCTCTGTTTCATAGCCTTTTTTACATACTAAAAGAAACTTTTCTTTTAGAAACACCTCTTTATTTCTTCAAAGCCAACAGAAAGAACTGTTTCCTGACTCAATGCAGTGCACACACAAAGCCATTTTTTCTGAGATGTATGTGACCATTGCTGTAAAATCAGTGACACAACCACGCCCCAGGGACGTGTACTGGGAACACTACTGTAAAAGAAGTGTTTGGGTCATGGCCCATTGGGTGTCTAATACAAAAGCCTGCACAAAAAGTGGGCTCCTGCTCCTGCTCTGCTCCAGATGAGCAGCAGGTTCCCTCTGTGTGGGACACAGCCCTGATTTACAGAGGAGGCTACCTGGAGAGATACCCACAGGTCAGAGATGGAAAAAGGACCTTTTGGAATGCAGCAGTTTAGCAATAAAGCTACAAGAATTAAAATCAAATATTGAAGCGCAGGCATACTTCAAAAGTGAATGAGTTCCTGAAAGAACAGGCAAAGGGCAGGACTTGGGTCCTTGCTTCTGTCACCCACCTGGATGTCCCGGGCTCGCTCGTAAGACTGATAGGCAATCTTTTCCTCCATGCTGGCCAGTTCCTGTTTTAAATTGAGGATCTCGTTCTGGTGGAGCTCAGTCAGGTCATTTAACTGCTCTTCAAGTCTTTCACATCTAGAAATGACAACACATGGTACAATGGCTTTAATGAGAAGAGGATGGCAAAATGACACCAGTGACAAGCAAGCAATGAACACCACGGCTGCCTCAGTCAGCACACAGCACACTCTAGCACTAATGCCTCCTTGCTGGGAATTAGTTCTTTCTACCTGATAAACGCTGTGATACTGTTCCTAACCTGGAGAAAACACACAATTAAATGGTAACTGTTGAGTGATGAACAAAATTCTCAAGAAATTGAGGACAGAATAAGAATAGAATGAAGTATTCACCAAACTTCTGTGTAAACCAAACAGTTCCCTTCTAAAACCATAAACTCCTAAGCATTTTTATCTACACTTGGAACAGTAATGGGCATAAAAATTACATGGAAATTACATGTGACTGATGCCTCAGAGAACATGCTGTTACTGTCTGATCTCTGCATGAGGTCACATGGATCTTTGATTTGCTTTTCCTTTATCTCCCATGAATGATGCAACTTAACAAACAAATACCATCACATTATTTGTAAGAAGGACACATGAATCACTAACCTGCAGGCTTATTTTTCAGTTTGCTCCTGGTGAATGGACCAGGAGCAGTCCTGAGGAAGAGAGTTGCTTAAACAAACTGAGTTATAACAATTCCGAGAGATAAGGTTTTGCTTCTCACTAAGAGAGTTATAAATTAACTGAAATGGTAGCTCTGATGGTAACAAAGGTATGGGCACAGCTGTGGTGGCCATTGGGCTTTTTCCACTGTCTACTCATTGTAGCAGATGGAAAAAGCTTACCATACAGTCCTTACCATCTGAATCTTCATACTAATAACCAAGACATTTCTAAGGAATTAACCACAGAGATAATTCCTTGTTTAAATTTTGGGTTTCTTCTGACTCCACTGAATTTAATTCCTGACCAAAAAAAAAAAAAAAACTAACAAGATGAATAAGAAATATTTCTCTAGAATGAAGAATTTAATTGTAAGTTCCGAAACTAAGACACAAATCCTGCTTCTTTTTTTTTTCAAGATTTTTTTTGTTTTTTAGAACATCTGCAGTCAAAAGCTAGCCTTTAAAAACAGTCTTAGGGTTTTGTTTTTAATAGACAAGTATGACGAGAATTTTGGTTCATGTTCCCAGTGCAATATTACTTTAAACTAAGGAGGAGTCAGACACAGCATGACAAGCTGCAGCAGTAAAACGCATGTGGTCAACCAGCACTGAAACCAAGACCACGGCCAGCTGACATGGCCGAGCCCAGAAAGGTGCCAGAAGAGCTGTGCAACTGCGCCGGGACACACCAGAGAACTGGTTTCCCAGGACTGACAAGGGAATGGCCATGTGAAGGCCAGCTAATGAAGAAGGAGCCCAGATAATTAATATTGCCCTTTGTTCCCACCCAACTTAAAACTGACAACAACTTGCAAACAACCAAAACATCACAACCACTCCAAGCCCCAAAGGCAGCATTAATTGCTTGAAATATATTCAGTTTGTTATTATATTACAAAATTCACCAGTGTGTTTATTAGAGAAAAAGAAACTTAAGCATTTCTGAAAATAGCATGATTGTATTTTTTAACCTCCTCTCACATAAGCACCTTTCATGAAGCAGTGGTTGCCAAGCAGCTTAAATCCTGTTCTCTAACAGGAAACAATTGTATTTTAATTACTTCAAAACTACCTCAATCTACAGGAAACATAAGGAAACCCTGCTAATCTGTATAGTTAAGAGTTTAAACAGAACATGATTAGCAGAAGGGTTGGCTCCAATCTTCCTGCCCTGAAGACTGCAGAACAACCAGCTCATTCCCAATCCACACTTCACTCCCTGCTCAACCCCAGAACTGCTGCAGTCTGCATCCAAGAATCACCTGCACTTCCAGAACTCACTGTGTCAGGCAACTGCTAGAACTGGGTTATTAAAAAACCCCACATCCCTGCCCCCACTAACCTACCCTGACTTATTTTTTAAATGACACATCCTCCATTCAGCTTCTTTTCACTTCTTGTCCCAATATTTACAATTTAGAAAATTAATTTTTTCCGGCTGCTTTCTACTGGTGTTCAAATTTAAAAAGCAAGGAGGGGTTTATGTGACTTACGGGGCCCAGAACCACATTGCCTATTGAAAGCTCGTTTGCATTTAAGTGGGAGTATTACACAAATAAAAGGGATAGGCTGCCTGTCAGGAGGGCTAAGATGAAATACATGCCTCTAATTCATGAGTGCCAGGGTCTATTGAACAAACTGAACTTGTCTGTGAATGTAGCAGCACCCTGAATAATCAAATCCCACTTCACTTCATGTATGGAAAATGCCTCAAGAACTATTTTGTTACTACTTGAAGTGTGAAATTTCTCCTTAAAAGAACAAGCTCCAGCCCAGAAACATCTCTGTGCAGCAGACCAATGCTGCCTGTCACAAGTATCACAGAGATCATCAGGGCTGTTCCTGCAGACACAGTAAATAGCTGGGCTGCTTGGCTCAAGTGTGGGATGTGGGAACACTGCATTTCAAATAGCCGTGTTGTACTTCCACATGTTTTCTGATGCTCACTGCGCGGGAACTGGGAAAGTGGTCTGAAAAAGGCTCAGAAACACAATTATGACCATCTCATTTTTTTAAAAAGCTTTAAGGCATTTTAAAGTAATAGTTGCAAAATGCACAGCTAACACAGCATATGGAAGGGAGGGCTGTGATAAAAAAAGACATTTGATCTGCACTCAGTGCTATGGTGAGTAAAGAAACTCTGATCAAACTAATGCTACAAAGATGTCTGCAGTAGACAGTGAATGAGTTTAGTACCTGTCTTCAGATGTCTCTCAAGATGGACCTTTTTCTTTTTATAGCTATGTAATACAAACCTTCATGTAATCTTTATTTGTCACTAAGTACATCTTTATGCTACTGAACACACCGCTTCCAATAGCGAGTAAACAGCTAAAACCAGAAGTTATTTGTAGTATGCTCCAAGTCCTCTACCTAGAAGGATACACGAAGGACAGAGCTTGCTCCCGACAGGAGCACGAGCTGCTCATGACACCCGCACACTTCCCTGTACTTCCAGCTCCGAGCCTCCCTGGAAGGAGGACAGACAGCTTTGCAGGGGTGTTTTGGTGCTGTCCTGGGTGAACACCAATACGCTGCCTCCACTGCCCAGCCACACTCCAGAACAGCCTTGCCAACCCTCCCAGAGCCCAGGGGTTTAGCTCCTTTGATCTATTTTAAAACACATCATGAGGACAGACTGAAGTGTGACAATCAAACTGCATTAAACCCAGACAAATGGAAGCACCAGTGACTAGCCTTTCGGCTGAAGGTTTTCTTCTGACAGGAGCATGGGAGACCTAAATGCCCTTTCCAAGGCTGTCAGGCTTGGGAAGAAATCCAAAACCTTAGACTGGCCACACTCCAAATATGTGAGCTTATGGTTTTGCCATGTACAAACAGGTTCCTGAAGGGACAAGCAAGATGAAAATACTCAGCAGGAACTTTATTTCAGTCTCAACAGCACAGAAAGTCCCTGCTTGTACCAGTAAACAACTGCCACCTTCCAATAACGAGATTAGCAACAAGCCATTTCAGCGCCTGCTCCCGGTGCAGAGAGAACAATGACGGCCAAGTACCGTCAGACTCTTCCTTCGCCAGCGGCTCAGCCCCAGCAGAGCAGAGCAGGGCTCCGGGGCCAGCACAGCCCACCCTGGCCTCGCCGTGGTGCTGCCAGGCCTGCACCAGGGCGGGAGAACTGGAGCAACGGGACAGGTGAGTCCCTGCCTCAGAGACCAGGGTTAGCAAACCGGCAGCCACGTGGAGTGGTAGACAAGATCTGGAAGCAGGGAGAGGGGAGGGAGGAGATGAAGGAGGTCATGGAAAACCTGTGAGGCAAGCCATGGCTGATAAACAGAAACTGCACAAACACAAATGGGAAAAAAGATCAGAACCTGCAAAACAGCAGACGATTTAAGAAAGAGGAAATGGATTAAGACCAGGTGAGAAAATGTCATGGCATGTTCTTTGTTCCAGCTTCCAGGTACAATGCAAACACACAGTGTCACCTGACAAGAAAAAGACTTCTCCAAAACATTTTCTTTTAAGCTCCAACTGAACTCTGTGTTTGTTTTTGAAAGCTTCCCATAAACAGAGCACAGTTAGGAGATATTTACAACTTTTAAAGCCAATTATGATTAATCTGAATCCCCAGCCTACCAGCATTAAACCACAACTTCCTTTCCCTTCTTTTAGCTTTTTTCTGAAGAGAGCTGAGGAGCAAGAGGGGTTCCAGTTGGAGGAACAGGCACCACCCCTCCCTGCCAAAGCAGCAGTGCCCTCTGCCCTTGGACATATCGCATCACCTTCCACTTCTCAGGTGATGTCAGCTTTTATCATTGTGACGGTTCAAAATACAGAAGCTATAAAAACAAGAATCTACATTTGTGCAGTCCTGTAGTCATCTAATCATGATTAACCCATGAGCTCTTGCTGATCATGCAGTTACCCACAAAGACAAGGGCACTGAGTGTGGTTTAACTGGTCCTCTTTAAAGGTCACACCTTTAATTAATTTGCATCAACATTCCAAATGACAGGTCTAAATTACTATCTTAAGCTTTTATAAGCCAAATGCAGATTCTCCCTGCTTTTCACTCCAGGCTGCCTCGGTGAGAGCTTGGGGTCTGGGCTGACCTCAGGGGAGAGCTCTGCAAAGGTTAATGGCACATAACAGGTATGACTTCACGATGCGCTAGTATGGGACCTACGTGAACCTTGCTCAGACGTGTTGGGCAGTAAGCAGCCCACTTAGCTGACAGCACACATCAGTCCCCAAGGTCTGCTATTGTACTTTCAGGCCACTCCTCCAGCTGTGCCATGCTTGCATTTAGCATTCCACCATGAATGGCTGCTGCTCTGTGTGTGAAACAACAACCTACACAGCAACAGACAACAGCACCTCTCTGCTGAGGAGCAGAAGATCCAGTTCCACATCATTTTGGGATGACTTGACGACACTGAGGCACTAGGAACCAAAGCTGCTGTGCTGGCTGCTGGTTTCAGTCAAACTGCTGATTATTGCAAAGCGGGATTAGAAAGTAGTGTTGGTGTTGGTCTGGCTTTGTTTGCCCAAGCTCTGCAAAGCACACTGAGAACCTGCAGTCTCTACCAGATCCTAGCAGGTTAGCCTTTTCCAGAGTTTTTCCAATGTTTTGGCATAAGCAGGTCTAAAGAGCTGTAGGGCAACTCCCATGTTACGCTGCACAAACCAGTGCAGCAAGTGGCACAGGGCACTTCAGCAAGCCTGTACACACCCCCAGCAGCTCCGCTGTGCCTTTCAGGTTGTGTTTCACATCCTGGCAAAGTAATGAAGGCCACAAAGAACCTCATGACAACAGCGTGCTGTCCTTCACCAGAACGAGGGCTTGGGCTTTGCATTTGTTATTTAAAGTTTAAGAATCCTGTCCAGGATGCCTGCAGAAGAGCAGCTAGTAACTCTTCCCTTCAGAGCCTGGAGTAAAGCCCTTGCTCCCAGCACGCGTGTGGGGGGATGTCAGCACAAGGCAGCCTGCAGAGAGCCTCTCCCACCCAGCAAGGAAAGGGAAGTATTCCCTCAGCACCTCTCCATGGGCAGCTTTCCTCAGCAGGGAGGTGGGGGCAGCAGGTCAGGCTGCCTTACTGAAGGCCACTGCCACCTCTCCCCTGTGACTTCACCAGGGATCAGCAGTACTGCAGCAAATGCTCCACCTTTCCATTCCTTCCAGCGAGGGGAAGACTGACAGAAACATGGGTCACCTGCTTCCAGCATCCTATAATCTCCAAGGCAAGAGCACTGTCAGTATCTGACATTTAATTCAACTTAATTTCCCTGAGTGCTGCCACTGTGGACTGAGCAGAGAAGGGAAGGGATATCTTAGTTTTGGCACATGGGTAAGATCATGTCTTTTTAGAGAACCTGAAGAAAGCTGGAATGCTTCTTTCTCTGGTAGATATGGATCTGAGTGTTGGAGAAGGCAGGGTCAAGTCATGTCCACATTAGTTCCCTGTCATTTGCTTTGATCCAAACATTTTCAGGATTTTTTGCAGGGCAAAGCACTGTCTGGTAACAGTAATTGCATCAATGTACTCGTGGGTTTGGGACACCTTATTAGACCTCTTCAGCTTCAAGTTTTTATCTTGAAAACACTTTGAAAGAACCTATTTCCTTGCAATCTTTTTCTTGTACAGAGAGAGAGGTAAGCAGCAAGATAGCAATATTTATAAAAGGCAGAACTGGGAGGGAAGAGTCCTGAGAAGACCTCAGAACTATCCACTTGAATCAGGCTGCTGGGAGCAGCCTGCTGAGCACTACCATCCCCAACTCTGGTGCTTTGCAATCACAGCATTGGACTGTCAAACGAAGTACCACAGCACATACCTGTACCGCTCCTCCTGCAGGGTCTGCATTATCAACGTGTAATCCCTCTGGTAGCGAACCTTAAGGTCCTCAAATGACTCTTCCAGTCTTGCCTGTGTCTCTCGAATTTCTTGAATCTCATGCAGTATTGCATCAAACCCTGAGCTCTGCATATCCAGAGTGTTTGTTTTGGAGCTAGAAGCTCCCACAGGGCCCCCTGTTGTACTGTTGGCTCCCACCGAGCCTGATGTGGCACTGGAACAGTCCTCTTCACTGCCATATTTTGGGCTTGACTGAAAGTTCTGAATAACACCTAGAGCCTTGCTACCTGTCCCATCTTCCTGGCCTTCTTCTAAGGAGTCCTTCAGATTAGCAATATTGTCTGCACTCCCAAACTTGTTCCTTATGAGGGAGGCAATCTCCCGGGGTTTGGAAACCACAGCTCCTGCTGCTGAATGTGTGGCCTGGGAGAAACTGGAAAGTCCACCTTTTACACTGTCTACCACTCCCTCACTGAAGCCAGTGACTTTTGCTCCAACGTCTTTCAAACCCTGATGCATATCCCTGAAGACATCCTTCGGCTGCCGAGGGATTCCATTCTGTTCAATCTCTCGCAGCTTTCGATGGTAATGTTCCAATTTCTTCTGCAGCTGCAAGATGGTCTGGGCTGACTTTTGATTTTTCTTCTCAAACACTTGCTTAATGCGGGCACTCTGCTGTTTGTCTGCATTGTTGGCCAGTTTCAGGTACTCTGCCACGTTGTCGTCACGGGCTGTTTGCTCAATTTTGATCTGCTCTGTCAGCTTCAGTATCTTCTGCTGCAGGTGTGTGATGGCCACTTTTGTCCGCTGCGGATCTGGGGTCCCATCAACAGAGTCTGCGTTGATGCTGCCATCAGTGCTGGAGGCCACGGCACTGGAGGTCTGCGCCAAGCTGCTGACTTCCAATCGCTCAATCTAAGCACAGAGAGAGAGAGAAACACGAGTGCTAATCAGCAGCTTCACCAACAGAAAAGCTTTCCTTCTTTATGCCAACCAACTTGGCAAACTGATATAATTCTGAAAAATGTACCTTTCTTCAGCTGGCCAGAGGACAGTATCAATCAGGAGAGCTTCACATACTTTACAGAGATCCAGCAAAAGTTTAAAAAAACAAAATCTCTCATACTTGACTCCACTTAATCGCCTCAATTCAAAACACAAGCACAAATGTGCAATAGGGCACCCCAGTTTGGCAGACCAAGCACTCCAAGGTATCAGTACAAGGGCAGGGGCTCAACTAGCTAGAGAGTGAAGAGACCAAGAAGGTAATTGAGAGCAGAAGCCACACGGTTTACTGTACAACACAGCACCCCCGAACCATTCCTAGTGCTTCACCTGTCTGAACAGCAGCAACAGTGAAACCTACAACCGATCCACTACGGTCAGTGCTTTTAACAGAAAAACGGAGCCTGAGAGGCGCCCGAATGCACGCCTTGCCGCGGCAAACCCTGCGAGCAGGTGTCTCCGAGTGGGAGGAAAATAGCGAGTTTCAAAAGACAAACCCAATGTATGGAGGGAAAAAAAAAAAGGGGGTTACAGGCTGTTTCAGCGGAATCCAATCCGCCAGGTAGCCGCCGCGAACCAGCGAAGGACCGGGCAGGCAGGTGCGGTCGCACCGGCGGCTCCTGAGCCAGGCATTCCTCCCTGGAGCCGACCATGCTCCGATCCCGGCCACTCCCGGGTCGCGGCCACGGAGGGTCCTCCGGCAGAGGAACGCCCGCGGGGCCCCCGCCATACCTTGTCCCGGCGGGGCAGCAGCGCCCGCTCCCCGTGCATGGCTCCCGCCGGCCGCCCGCCGCCCGTGCATGGCCGCGCCGCCGGCCCCGCCCGCCCCCTCGCGGCGGGGAGGCCTCGCCGGGCCGCGCAGCCACCGGCCGCCTCCATTAGCCAGTTTCAAACCGAACGCGGCCCCGTCCCGGCGCGGAGCTGCCGAGCAGCCGCGACTGCTGCCCGCACGCTCCGCTCCCGCGGCTCGGCGGGGACCGGCCGGCAGCTCCCGGCTCGTCCCGCTGGAACTGCTGCCAGCTGACCCACCGCTACTGCCCAGTCGCAGAACCATGCCCGTGTTTGTGAATATGCGCTTTACAAACAAAAGTGCTGTTACACTTAATGTACCCTCTCTCATGATTCATCATTCCGTATTTAATGCAAAAAAACCTCGCCGACTGCAACACTGGCCGGGGTTAGCCAGGCTTCTTCCCATAACCCTGAGGTTCTCTGTTTCCTATCAACAGGAAAACCAGACACCTGGGAAAGCAATTGATTCATTTTCTAAAGGAGTTCAGCTGCTGGAAACCATAGAATATAATTTCTCGGTCTGTTGCGACTCCTGAAACATCAATTGCTTTCTTAAGAGGGTTTAGGTGTAGAAACCCTGGAGCTCTGGATAGATCAATGGAAAATTGGTGCTAAGAATTAATATTAATCAGCGGGACCAACACTATGCATGATATCAGTACTGCACAGCGAACGTGCTGTCTCTGAGATGTAGGGACATGCATTGGAAGTAATACACATTTGCAAAGATACCTCTTCTTGGAATTTGTAATTTCATTAAGATTTTCCCAGGGCTGTCAGTGATCAGATTTCTCCCTATGGCCCAGACGAACAGAGACGCTGCCTGTGCAGGCCATGGCTGGCCTGGGAGCGTCACCCAGCACCCACGGCACAGCTGGTCTGTGCCTCAGCCACAGCGCAGCTCTGCCAGCCAGCCCCCAGGAGCAGCACAGAGCTCTGTGCAGCACACCAAGACAATCAACCCACGGCACAGCTGGTCTGTGCCTCAGCCACAGCGCAGCTCTGCCAGCCAGCCCCCAGGAGCAGCACAGAGACACCAAGACAATCGCATTACTGTTAACTGCCTATGAACCAAGGGCTTCTCAATCCATTCTTAACAATCTCTACCTCCTCCAGAGCAAGGACATTTTAGTATTTAATGGCAGACAAAGAAAACCAGAAAGATTCACAGTTTTGATGCAAAACTTCCACAATTTATTTTTTTCTTTTCATAACGTAATTGATTTTTCTCTGGGCAGTGGTAAGGGTGGATGAGCATGGGACTCACCTGGTGTCTCAGAACCAAACAATCACTTCTCACCAGTTCTTCTGCAGCCCAGAGGCTCTCAGGTGAAATCTGCACAGATCAGTGTCATCGAACTACTGGGGCTTCAACACTACTTTGCAGCAAAGAGTTTCTATCAGCTTAATTTACTCCAGGTTTGGTCTAATTAATGTGTGTTTATGGATAATTACCATAAATTACACTAATATTACACTTTTGCTCTCATGACACAAGTTTTGTGAGAGAAAAATTTGGTAGAAACTTTCTCTTCCCCCCCTTTTGAAGTCAGTTGACTTCAGCAAATCTGCCCAGGTTATCTCCTTACACCTGTGGTAGAAAATGAACTAGAACTGCAGTAACAGAATAAATCAAGTTGGGATAATTGCTTTGTAATTACCAGCTGTGTGGATATTATTCTGAAATAACAAAAAGGGTTCTTTCCAAGTCAAAAGAAAAAGGCTGAACAAGTGCAGTTCTGGAACAGAACTGAGATAATTTAAGTATTTTCTCCATATTGACAAGGCTTTGTAAAGGGAATACTTAGCACAAACCGGGTCCCTGGGAAATGCTGATGACATATTATTGAATTTGAGATGATGGTCAATCTGTCCTGAAAAGATGCTGGTAAATTAAATATAAAATATAAAATAATGATCAATGCTTTTATAAGACTAGGGGTTACAATTCAATAGTCAATCTCTCTTGCAATACAATTTTCCATTATATTTGACAGTTCCAGTTAAGGGGAGCTGTGTGCCCTCCCACCAGGAGGTACACTGAGACCTGCTTTGGCATTATGCCTCAAATCAGATGAAATCATGTGAGGGCCTTATGCTTTCTCTCTCTCAAGATCTTACCAAATTCTCAACTGTTAATGGTCTCAGGCTTTCACTCCTGTACAAGCTTTCCAATGTCTCTATTTTGCAGCACACAGCCCAAAAAGCACCTCATGATTCTGCCTTTTGGTGCTGCTGAAGATTAAATACAGCAGTTTCTTTGAAGGTATTTTGCCCTCCTAAAACTCCTCCAGTAAAAGCATATACCCGTCATTCACCAAGAAGATGGACTGTTGCTTTTAAACACTCAGGGCAGCTGGCCTAAGCAAACAGCAGCTTTCAGAGCAAGCCTGCTGCAAGAGGGCAACTCCTGCATTCACCTCCCTCACCTTGTGAAGCCTGGAGCTTCACAAGTGTGACTGAAAATTGTCATGCTACTTAAAATAAACACATACAGGGCAAAGTGAGACAGGGGAGCTAGAGTGAGATTGCACAGCCCCAGAAAGGAGCTAACAGCACCTGAGGTGCCAGGGTTAATCACCTTCCCAGTGACTGCACACCTGACTGGCAGCTAAAACCAGCCATGAAAACATTACAAACTTCTTTTGCTTCCTGTTCCCACTGTGCTGAAGGCAACACAGTCATACAGACAGAAAACCTATGAGACTCATAGTAAGTCATAGGTTTTAGACTTCCTGTTTGGAAACACCACTCAACAGCATCATTAGTGCACGGCAGGCGCAGGGATGGGCACAGGGACTTGGCTAACCCCTCCACACCAGGTGGACAGATGGTCTCCAGCCTCAGGCAGGCACAACAGCAGAGACTCAAAATCTCTGATGACAGTTATAAGGGAGCTGGTTTGTTAGTAAGATCTCTAATCAACACCTTAGAGGAAATAAAAATCACAGGGGAGAAAACCCTGCCATTCTTTGTGCCGGACCACATCTGCAGAGTAAAAGCCCCCCCAGGCACCATTTCATTGGATCTGCATTAAAACACCTAAGTGCACATTTGAATAAACACACACAGAATCCCCAGCAGGTACAATGAAGAGATACTTAAACATCACAAATTACTATGAGGTACCATTAACACAGATTAAGTGCTATCAACAGCCACAAGTCACCTCCCTGCATGCCACCTGCAGCACATGACTCTTGAAACACATGGGTTAACGTGGCACCAGCCCCACTGTCTCATAAGCAGTCAGTGCCCTGCTCCTCTGGATCCAAAACAGTCATTGTATATGGCACAACTTACCACAGGTCCCAAAGGAAACAAAAAAGTGCCACAAACTCCCCTGCCTCACCCACCTGGGTGATGCAACAAGCTCTTTATTACCTACACCTGATCTAGCATTAAGAATCTATTTTTCTAATGCTTTGCTTTTTAAAGGTTGTTACTGAATCACAGATCAGCTGAGGTTGGAAGGGACCTCTGGAGTTCACCTGGCCCAACCTCCTGCTCAGGCAGGGCCACCAAGAGCCAGTAGTTGCCCAGCATGATGTCCAGAAAGCTTCTGAGTATATCTCCCAGATACTACTTCCACATCCTGCATTTGTGGATCTGTCTGTGACAGAAAGTCAGATCTGTCTGCTGCAACACTGCCACACCTGATACCACCAACTCTATGGGTTACTATTTATTTCTAGTTGCATATTTTTGTGATTCCAAATCCCGCACAACAGCATATGTAAGGGAGAATATTTCTGTTCATTCATCTCTCAGGTAAATACAGACAGAAGATCAAAATACTGCTGCAATGAACCATCCCTAGAGACAACTGCTCACTCACATGTGGATTCATTTACAAATCCACCTTACACCTTCCCTCAGCAAGTGCTCAGGGTGCATACATGCTCCTGCCCTACAAAACATCTGCCTTAGATTTACTGTCAAGAAAGAGGAAAAGCAAAAAACGTGTCCAGTGTGATTCCTTGTGACACACTGCAGTTTATCCTGAAAAACTGTATTGACTGATTGAATCTTCAGAAGGTGCAGCAGCTCTGCTTTTTCACAGGCTCCAGCAACTCACCCACAAGAACCTATGGTCATCCTTGACAGGAACTGTTCTG